CGAAGAGTGGCAGAAAGAACACTGGCCTAAGCATTCAATAGGGACTACTCTCAAGTAGTCCCCTACCGACACCCCACAGGGCTCTAAGGAGTCAAAGGGCAGTGTGTGCACTGGAGTTCACCAGCTCTCCTCTCTGCGCCCCTCCTCCCAGCACAGCAGCCAGAGGAGGGCACGGCTGGCCAGGCTGGGGGAGCGAGAAGCCGCACATTCACGCCTCCCCTGATTTTCACCTCCAGGCCAGCTGTCCTCCCTTCCCTCTCAGTCCAGGTGAATGGAGGCTGAAAACCTGAGCGAAAGAGAGCAAGCTAGGAAGAAACTGGTGGCTAGTCCCTTGACATATTTTCAGAGAAAACTTTCCAGAAAACAGCCCGAAGGAGACACTTCCACGGGGCTCTCCTCCTGTCTCTGACTTTCTAAGTTCTGCCCGTTTGAACGGCCCCATGGCATCCTTCCTCCTGCATTCTCCAGGCCTGCAGGAGCCCTCAGCGCAGAACCCGCCTTTGGTGGGTTCACCCCTAAGTGGCCCCGCAGGCATCCTCCAAGCACGGACTGGTGGTGAGGCTGGTGTCCTGACCGAGCCCCCAAGGAGGTGGCTCAGACTCAGGCAGCGAGCGCCCAGTAGGCCTCCCAGGGCGCAAGGGGTCTGGGCACCTTCCCATGAGGCAGCCCTTCTGGCTCCACCACCGGAGCCATGGGAACAGGTTTAGCCACACATGGCCTGGAGGCTGCACGGCTCATGCTGGGTTCCCAGCCTCTGTCCTCCAGATCCTTGTCCCAGCTCGCCTGCCCCTGCCCTTCCTGCGGGGAGCGGCCCCCTCACCACGTGGATGACGTGGCCCTAGGGCGCCCACACGTGGCCCACCACTTCCTCCGACCTCCTCTATCTACCCGACCCGCGACCCACGGCGAGCTCCCACAGGGGCTCCCAGGCACAGATGGGCGCGGAAGGCTTTGGCTGCAGTGGCTACAGTGTTCCTACCACCCAGGCTTCCAGGACAGGTCCCACGGGCCACAGCGGCAGGCACGGCCAGACTAGCCACCCAGGGCTCTCTCTCCCAGCCCACGGTGACACTGGATCCCAGATCTGATAAATCCTCTAGGTACTTCAGTTTCCTCAGGCATTTAGAAAAAACCAAAAACAGTCATAGGATTTCTTTTAGGAATAAATCAGATTATGGACGTTGTGGGCCCAAGGGAGTAGTTACTCTGTAAGCTCCCTCCCCACTTTCCCCCGTCCTTCCCTTTCAGATACCAGAATTTGCATCCAGAGCTAAAAGTCCGTGGGCTCAGCCAGAGCAGTAAGAGCAGTGAAGGCATATCCACATTCCTGGAGGACACATGAGAATAGGGACTGTCCCTGAGCTGAGAGAGCATGCCATCACTGATCCTATGGGGGGAGTGATGACACAGAAATCATCCTAACAGCATCATACACACAGGCCTCTGCCAGCTCCAAGCGGGCTCATTTGAGAAAACAGCCTTCTTGGTAGTGCTGGCTACAAAGGTAGGGCCTAATTTGTCCTGTTTTCCTCCACTGTCCTCTGACACTGCTTCCTCTTCCCACTCCAGCTTAAACACTAAAGGACAGCTCAGCCCAACATGGGGCTCTATTCACAGGCTGGGGAAGGCTTTTATAAAGGGAGGCACATCAGCTCTAGACCAGCTGGAAAAGCCGTCGTTAGTCACTCTAGTAAACAAACACTGAAGTCATTTCCCTACTGACACCCAGACACAGGAATCACGTCTAAGAGTAGATTGCAGCAGCACCAATCTGACAAGGGTCTCACATGGGTGTTCCTTCCCAACAGAAAATGGGGCGGGGGAAGAGGGCAGTTGTAGACCAGGTCCTTCTGAGGAGAGCATGTGGGTGGAATCATGTATAAGTAAAATTTTAAATCAACAGAATGCATCACTATGGAAACATTCGGCTTTATCAAAGGCACTGCTCAAAAACATAATCAAGACCTAAGATTCAACACTCCAAGTGTTTATGACCAGAAAAGGCAAAGTGGGTCTCAGATATTGTGCAGCCAAGTAAAGCTGCCAGAACTCAAAGAAGAAATATTCCCAGCAGGGCAGGAACCCGTCATTTGTCAGGACTTCTCTGAAGAGCGTTCAGTGCACCACAGGGCCTCCTTAGCTCTTTCAGCGTTGCAATGACACAATTCAGATGGCTCTACAGGCACTGGGTCCAGGCAGACCTGCCATGCGCTAGGGCAGGATCACATCAGCCACAGAGGCAGAGAGTGGGTGCCACAAGGAAAGGGCAGGTTTATTAGCTGTGACAAACTTATCAGGAATCCTCAGAACCACCCGAGCTAGTCGGTTAGTGATGGGTCAACATGGACCCTGATTTCAACGCTGGGGATGCCATTGGGTGCTAAGTGTGAGTGTTCCAACCCATGTTTGGAGGCAAATTGCCTGTTATAAATAAGACAATTTTAGTGTGGAGCCTGGTCTGTTTCTTTGGGCTCTCTGCTGACTGGAGTAATGGTGTTGGTAAGTATTGTGAAAAAGCCTGATACAAGTTTGGGTGTCATTCAGGGTCCCCAAGTGTACTCACAGATAAGAATGAAATGATAAAGGACCACAGGGGAAAACTCATCTGTCCCTGTCTCTGAAGGTGGATACGGTCAGGAAACACTTGCCAGAAAGCCAAGGAAAGCTGGCTGAGAATCTGTCTAACTCACTAGAAGTTGGATTCTGTCCCTGCAAAATGAGCTTCCCCAACCAAATGGTCAACTGCTAGTCCAGTCGCCAGCAGTTTCTGACTAGAAGATGCTGATGCTGATTAAGGGAAGATGAGATACAGATGCCTGCCCTGATGCTATACAGGAAAGCCCAGGAACAACCAGCTTGGCAGGAGCCAGCCCTGAGGCTCAGGGTTCCCGGGAGTGCTCAGCAGACCATTCCGCCTCCATTCAGCATGGCAGAGGAAAACCAAACAGGCCGAGAGACTAGCCTGCAGTCTGAAATCCAGTTCGGCCACTACAAGCCCTATTTACTTAACTTCTTGGAGACTCAGCTTCCCAGCCTCTACAATGGGAACACGACCTCTCTCCTGCCGGGCTGTGGGGAGGATTGGGGATCGTGTCTAAAAGCTCCCGGGGCAGTGCCGGGCAGCCTGCTGAAGCTTGGAAAAAGGGCAGCAAAAACAAAACAAAACTGAAACCTGTTTTTCTTCACGCTACTGCTGTTACATTTGCTTCCTCAGCTTTACATGGGAGCTAAGCAAAAACAGCATCACCTCTAATTCCTAGTTCAGCTCTAGTACCAGCAAAACACGGCAACAGGCTGCTGCAGTCACTGAGCACGCGGCCCTCTGCTGTGGTCTGGAATTCCCATCTGTGCCTACACCCTGCAGTTTTACTCTACGGCAAGTACCTACTTGACATTTCAGAAGGGACATTGTTTTAATGATAAGGAAAAGGGCAGTTCTGGCATATAGCATCTGGAGTGACAGCAAGAAAAACAAAACTGAAGATCTGCTGCTCTCAGACTAAGACACCCAGGTGGTGGCCCACCCCATCTGCTGTACAGTAGAAATGTGTTTCCCTGAAAGACACGGGTGTGACAAGTGAAGAGATCAAATGCACAGCTGATGCAAGGGGAGATCATGACCCTCCATTAAGAAGGAGGGACACTGGAAGACTCGGAACCATCTGCCAGTTCTTTCATTAGTAAGGAATGGAAGATACATTTCCTAGTGTCATGAATCAAACTCATAACCAAAGCTGGCTGTATCACCTGGCCTGGTATTATTTGCATTACTAGGAGAAGAGCTACGAATTAAAAAGAGGCTTTATTTTATTCTTATGGTGATTTGAGCCTCCCTCACAGGAAAGCTTGGTATGGTGCTCTAACTTTATAAAGCATTTCATACTTCTTAGACAAACAAGCTTTGCTCATTTGTTTGTTTAAAAAGGACGGGGCTACAATGCCAGGAGCCAGAGAGCTTGCCAGAGAACAGTCTGGCCAGGCATGGTGCTCCATCTGAGTGCCGAGTCAGAGCGTGCCCGGCCTTTGGCATCTTCCAATGATCACAGGGAGCATCAATCTTACAGCCTGGAATGGAAACAGGAGAAAAAGCAAAAAGGCACTGTACCTCTCCCCCACTGGCAGACAGAGAAACCTGAACTCTCCTGCCCTATTTTCATCCATTTACATTCATTTCCTTTCTCTCAGGTTTTCATTATCTTGGTTTGGAGTTAATCTGGTATACAGCTCCTGAGTCAAGAGGTCAAGAAGACATGTGGTTTTATGATGCAATAACGGGCAGCCACTCTGTTTTGTTTTGGGAACCTCGGTGACATCACAGACTAACCCTTGTACCTTGGGACCTTGTATGTAAGAAAACACTGAGTCAGAGAAAGCCTTAGTCATAGGGCTACTGCAACACAAGGTGAAGAGAACTATGAGGCAATTGAGTGTATTCCCTGCAGGGCTGCTCCCACTTCTATCTGACTTGGGTCTAGATGACTCAAGTGATTCCCTAGGGGAAACTAATCTATGTGGAACAGCTGTCATGAGCAGGGCTTCTGCTGCTCTTCAGCCTCAATTTCAGCCTGCTACCCATGACATCATTCAGTGATTCCTCCCTTCAAGGGTACAGTTTTCTCTTGTATTACGGGTGACGGCTTGAAGGTGGGTAGACTAGAGCACACTGCCACCCCTCTTTATTTGGGGGCCTGTAACCTGTCTGAGTGTGTCACAGGAAGACTGACAGGTAAGACTCAGTTACGGAGTTTCCTGAATATGCAGCTTTCCATTACAATAGTGTGCAAGCCAAGATGAAACCACCTCTGTTTGGGTTTCAGCAGCTGTCTGCCTACAGAAGGCTCCAGACTCTCTGACGCATATTTATATCTCCACTTCACTGAAGTCACAAGGAACAAACACGTGGAGCTTTTCCCTAGAGGCACAAATCCATTCATATTTCTTCAAATGAAGGTGGGGGCGGGGAGGGCAGGAGGAAAACTGCTTATGAACATAATCATTCGTGAACACTGTCACGTGGATTTTAATTTGCCTAAAGATGACAGCGATTTTGAGCTGTGATTAGGGATAACTGTTCCCACGGTAGACCCATTACCAATGTGAATTACTGGCTGTCATTTAATAGGACTCCAGCTGGGAAACAAACCCCACCATCTTCCCAACAGCCATGCCCCGAGATCTAGCAGCACCAGCCTCTTGAAGTCACTTCTCAGTGGAAGGTTTGCTCCGTCTCAGTGAAGCTTCTCTCTCAAGACTCTGACGTCACCAGGGTGTCCCTCGGGGGCCTGGATAGACTGTCCGAAAGGTCAGGTTCACTCTTGGTTCTCTAGAGTGGTACTCTTTGGGCACTCGATGCTAAATGGAAATACACATAACTCTGACATAAATACGCACATGAACACGTTTAGTTCAAAGCAATTTAAAACTTATTCATGAGAATACAGAAATATTTCCATCTTATCCCCCTTAAATTAGTAAGCTCTTTAAAGTCTTGTAGAGAAAGGTCTTCTTGAAACAAATTTCCATCCCCAGCCCCCCTCTGCTGTGCCAGCGCCTCTGAAGTGAGATATTTTCGTTTCTTCTAATTGTTGCTGCTGCTCTCAGGCACCTGTCATTTCCCAAATCTCATAAAACATATAAATGGATGAGACCTAAGAGAGGCGTGAGATTCCACTCTCATGGTAAGTGCTTTGACATTAACATGCACACCTGAGAAATGATCTGCCCTAAAAATGGCATGGCCTAGCCACGGAGCTGTGTATTCCAGTCAGAGAGTCACTAGCTACCCTGAAGCTATTCACATTTAAATTAATTAAATAAAAACTCAGTTCTTTATAGCAAGCAAGCCACATTTTCAGAAGTCAATAGTCATATGTGGCTAGTGGCTACTAATTAGGCGGCACAGATACTGAATACTTTCATCATCACAGAAAGTTCCACTGGACACACTAGTGTCCATCTGGATTGTGAGTAGTATCAAAACTCCTTGGAAAGAATGTCAGTTCATTGCCTCTTGCTCATTATAAAAGCAGCTTGCTTTTCACCGTGTCTATTTAGAAATAGTCTTGAGAGTCGGGAGACTGCCTCCACATGAGAGAAGATTCTTTACTTGTGCATCCTCACCTGCCAGTCGGCTTGCGTCGCTCCTTCCATGATTAACAAGGTCCCGTGATCTAAGGGTATCTTCACTCTTTCCACATATGTGTAGTCTCCATTCTCTTCCTAGAAAACAGCATTCCCTGTGCTAAATTTTTGGCCTGTGTGATCAAGATGCAACAGAAGCTGACAGTGGTCAAAAAAATGGAAACCTCTACTCAGTCAGTCTGTGGGAATCCATATATAGCTCTGCCATTGGGCAGCTGCTTGACTGCGGGCAACTTACCTCACCTCTCTGAACCCTGACTTACTCATTGGTAAAACAGGGAGGATGACAGTCACTGCCACCTAGGGCTATGGTGAGCCTCCCTTGATAGAATATGTGTAAATCACTTGGAGACTGGCATGCAGTAAGTGCGAGCTATTCGTGTCATTGTCATCATAAGCTAAAACACAGAAAAGCCCATTCTGACCTAAGGAGGAAATAAAAGTCACTTGTACAAGAATTATTTACATCTGCCTGATGCTGTGCTCTCCATTTTGACATACTCAGTGTGGGGAAAATGGCCTTTTAACCAAGACTTGATGCGATGCCTTCTGCTTCACCTTTTCACAGTGTATGCTGGTTTAACTAGTTGGCACCTATAGTCACAATTTTTCTCATAGCTACTTTGGAGGTTTGAAGATATACTCCTGCCTCTTTCCAGAACAGACAACAAGATTTTCTCAAAGGGAGCTCTGGCTTGATCAAAACAGTGCTGTCAAACTGAGACTGGCTATTTACATCTTTGAGGATGGCTCACGACTCCTGTACACTTAGGATACAAATGCCTCGTATTCACACAGAGAGCTCAAAAAGCAATTTATGTCCAATATTCTCATGAGTCTTCACAGCATAGGCTGCGAAGCAATCAACTTGTAGTGTGACTCCTCCACAGCTGCAAAACGGGCGCATTAAACAACTTCTGTGCTCACAGCCAACAAAGAGCATGTCAAATGCTGAGACTGGAACAGATCTGAGCTTCCTGATTTCTCTACCTCCATTCTGGGCAGGACGGATGGATCTATTCATTCATCTGCTTCACTTCCAATGCAAGGGGTTACATTTGGGTTACTGCAGGATTGATTTCAGTTGCAAACTGTGTTTATGTTTATTATTGTATGGGTTCTTCTGAGAACTTAACTGTTTACAAAGATTTCCCCTAGGGAAATCAAAATCAAAACAATAATGAACTTGCATAAACAATCTAAGTTCCAGGCCCCAATTTTTGGCAGTAACTTTGTCAGGCATAGTCATAATTGTTACAGACAGAAGATAGAAGCAATGTTTAAAATAACTTTTGGTTTCAGTGATTGATTTGTGTCTGCCACCTTTTCTCTTCCAGTAATAAGTAGGCACCAAAACATTTACCTTTGACCCCTCAGACAACCAGAAAGCAGTGGGAAGGTGACCCTGCCCTCAGGGCGGCCCAGCTCCATCTCAGAAAAGCAAAAGGCCACTCTCTGGAGAAAAAAAAAAAAAAAAAAAAAAAGTGGCAGACAAAAAAGACACATGTCCTGCTGGAGAAAAGATATCTGGAGGGAGTGCACTGTCCATGAGATTACAGACTGCAAGGCTCCTTAATTTAGGCTGTATAGTCAGCTACAAGATTCAACACAGCTAGAAACAGAAGAACTTCTGCTACCCTCTACATAATCAGGGAGTACAACATGGGCTCTATCTACACATCAACTACAGACACTAAGACGGGAGAATAAAATAAAGTAGAAAGGAAAGACACAATCACAACACAAAGGCAGTTCAGAGATGAAGAGCTCTTAGAACGTTAAAAACACTGTTGGAGAGAAGGGAGTGCTAGACCAATGGAAGAGAATAGGTAAATATTGTTGTCGCACCTGAGAATACGAAGCAGGAATGCACCTCACAAGTGAAAACTAATTCCAAAATGCAAGAGAGAAATATCAGCACTGATGGAAAGTGATGTTCAGTGATCACATTTCACACACAGTTCCTAAGATCTGAACTTTTCAAATCAGAGTAAGCCTCAGGTTGGTTTTGAACATGTAACATTCAACATAAGCATTGGCCATACCAAAAAGCAGAAAAGGGTGAGCCTTTGTTTGGGAGGGAGCCACTGGAATCAGTCCACAAAGGAGGCAGCAATACACAGGGTACCCTCTGTGAGTGGTGGTATCATTCTTCTCTGCTTGTTATTTATTCCTTCAAAGTCTCCGATTCAGAAGATATATTCCTAATTTGCAGAAGGAGGTAGATAGGAAAGAGGGCAAGGGATCCTACTAATGCAACACAGAGCTCACAAATGAATCCTTCTCTTGTGGTCAGAGTAGCCACAGACCATAGGGACACCCTTCCACTGAACCAAGATGCATGGAGACTTTTTCCAGCTAGGAGCCAGATGAAAGGTCAGAGGAGCTCACACAGCTGTGCATAAAGGCTCCAGTTGATAAATGGATAAGCAACAGTGGGAACACAGGTCAGACTGTTTAGAGGAGCGCCTTCCTAGTCATTAAGCATGGTTAAGTTACCCAAACACATCTCTGTAGCCCTTTTGATTTACTCAGGGCTTTCTTCAAAACAAAACAAAACACACCTCCAAAAACCAGGGCTAAGGGTAAAATTTTCCATCCCTCATCCTGGTTAAAAGAAGCTTTTAGGGTCACACTCAAGCTACAGAGTGGGTTTTGTTATTAGTCTTCTTAGTTTTCCAAATACCTGAAACCCTACAAGTACACGGAAAAAGCAAAAAACATATATTTTTATATTAATGTTGATCAACATTCCCATTTCTCCAACCACAGCCAGTTCATTTGAATGCTTAATTATGCTTTCCTAAGGCTTCCCACAACTCTTACCTCCACCTCACCAAGATGTTATCCCATGCAGTTTCCTTTAAGAAAACGCTATTTAGGGTGAAAAAATCTGGGTGTTTTTACTGTTATGTCATTATTAACCATCCAACAGACGGGAAACCTAAACATTTTTCTTTTCATTGGAAAGGTAATTCACACTGGATGAGATTTGGATTTTTCTTATAATTAACCCTTTCTTGTCCTAAGAGAATACCTTAGAAATGATAAACAATCACCAATGCTTTAAAATCATCAGTTTTTCTTTCTAGAATATAAAAAGTAACATAAGTTTACTAAAGTAAATTATGCAATTGTAATTACTTATTCAGCCTCTGCTCTTATGAACTCCATGAGGGACAGTTTATGTGGTCTTCCTGTGAAGAAACATTCTCAGTGCCTATCACACATATCAATAAATATGTACTGAATGACTGAGGAAGAGGACACAGAAAATGCAGAAAATCACCTATAATCCTATCATCCAGAGTTTACCCAATGTACACACAAAGTATTCCAGATATACAATCATGTACACTCTATCTATAATATTTTATTGAGCATTTTTCTATCTTTAAATATACATTTCAAAAATACAGCTGTGGCAAGGTGCAGTGGCTCACACCTGTAATCCCACCATTTTGGGAGGCCGAGGCGGGCAAATCATGAGGTCAAGAGATCGAAACCATCCTGGCCAACACAGTGAAACCCATCTCTACTAAAAATATAAAAATTAAAAATTGGCTGGGTGTGGTGGCATGCGCCTGCAGCTACTTGAAAGGCTGAGGCAGGAGAATCGCTTGAACCCAGGAGGTGGAGGTTGCAGTGAGCCGAGATCCCGTCACTGCACTCTGGCCTAGCGAAGGAGCCAGACTCTGTCTCAAAAAAAAAAAAGAAAAAGAAAAAAAAAAAGGTTCTACAATATTCATTTGTATGAATGTATACTTCCACAAATACTTTTTGACCACCGTACATGTCAGATATTATGCCAATGCTAAGGATGGAGCAGTAAGGAACACATGGTTGGAGATTCAGATTTTCACACACCAGTATTTTTTTTTAAGAGGTTAAATAAACGAAAAGCTGCTGTAAGTAGATTTTTGAGCAAAACATTTCTGCATATATTTCTAACATATATTCTTAAAAATGGAATTACTGGAGCCAAGTGTATGAACTTTAGGGCACTTGATTTATGCTACCAAACTGCTTTCTTGAGAAGGCTGCAGCAATCTATAATCGCATCAGGAAAATATGATAGTATCTATCTTCTGGCTCAACATTACCAACTGACAATAACGAAAACAAAATTAGGGTAGAAATGACAACTCATTCAACCCTAGAGATCTTGCATTACTACCCACATTTTTTTTTTTTTTTTTTTTTTTTTTTTTTTTTTTTTTTTTTTTTTTTTTTTTTTTTGAGACAGAGTATCACTCTGTCACCCAGGCTGGAGTGCAGTGGTGTGATCTCAGCTCACTGCAATCTCCACCCCCTGGGTTCAAGCGATTCTCCTGCCTCAGCCTCCCGAGTAGCTGGGATTACAGGTGTGCACCACTACTCCTGGCTAATTTTTTTGTATTTTTAGGAGAGACAGGGTTTCACCATGTTTGCCAGGCTGGTCTTGAACTCCTGGGCTCAAGGGATCCACCTACCTCAGCCTCTCGAAGTGCTGGGATTACAGGCATGAGCCACCACATCTGGCCCAAGTTCAACTTTTTTTTACATTCTGTTTGCTATTTTGTTTCTTCTGTTGTGAACACTCTCTGTTCATGTCCTTTGTCCATTGTTCTACAGGGGTGTTAATGCTGTTTTCTTATTGATCTGTGACCACAGATAGTGAGACATTTACCCTTTGTTTGTCATACTTTTTGCAAATGATTTTCTCATTTGCTATTTGCCTTTTAGCTGTACTTACGATATTTAACACAGAATAGCTCAAAAATTTGAGAGTCAACTCTACTGACCTTTCTTTGGCTCTCCTTCATGATTTTTATGCTTAGAAAGTCTTTTCCCATACTGAGGAAAGTTAAATATACAACTGCATTTCCTTTTTTTTTTTTTTAAAGAGTTTACATTTTTTAGACTTAACTCTTTAATCTACATGGAGTTTGTTTTTTTGGTGGTGGTTTTTGTTTTGTTTTGTTTTTATTCCATGCTTCTTTTTATAACAGTTTCCAGGTACTTAAACCAAAGCCTTCTGCTAGACCTTTTCCACAAGATCAACCATGGCGTATGCTGCATTAGGCACTATATCTGTT